GTTAATAAATTTATTTTACATTCATTGGTGCTTTTGAACAGTACCACCTCTCATAAGTTGGGGGGAAAAATGTCCACAGTGCTTAAATGCTTTATATTTTTTCTTAATGGTTGTTCCAGTTGCAAAGTGAGAAAAATGCAAGTATGTATGGTAGTGCAAAGAATACCTTTAGGGCGCTGTGCAGGTGGAGCGCATCTAGGAGCTGTGGAGAAGAGAACCAGAGGCCTTTTCTGAGGAAAACTTTGTATAACCATTCTTTATTCTTCAGATAGTTACAAGAAAATTATGCCTCTGCACAGTAGTTTAGTAGTGCACTAGAATGGTTTATTTAAAAATAAAGTGACAGGATTTTCCTTTCCCAGAAGGGATGCAATCAGCTCACTTTGAAAACATGTTTACTCTGCCAGCTTTGCAAGCCAGTAACTTGCAGTCTTTTACTGTTGTGAATATCTGTTTGCTAATAACTGAATATGAAATAATAACTAAAAAAAATTATAGAGCAATTGATACTGTATCTCAAGCTATTTCATTAAAAGTGGTGATTTTTTTGAGTTAATTACTATTACGTGATTGAGGCTGGACAAACGTTTCATTTGAACTCAGTTTGCTCAATTATTTTGATGTACAGTATTGCTTCACTTCTTAAATGTACACTTGAAACTTCATAAATATTACTGAAGAGGTAAAAAGTGATCAAAGATGTTGTTTGGTGGGATACTGTTAGTGTGGGGGGGTGATTCTTGTCTAATGGGTTTTGCAAGTCTTTTTGTGAACTACTTGATTTGAGCTTCTGCCAGTGGGTCGATAATGACACCTGTAGATTTAATTTTTTTATTTCAAAACTATAGTTTTTAGAAAATATTTATGCTTTATAATATATGCTATACTTATTATGAACTACAATTAAAACTGTTTTGTATAATACCTATGATAAATATTTGTTTGTGATATATAAATGTAATAAAGCAAGGAGGAAATTTGACTTGTCAAATACGCATGAATTACTGTTACCTCTTTGTGTCCCTTCACTACCAAAATACGAGTGGAGATCTTGATCCTAAGACTTGCACTGCTTCTGAAGAAAATTATGTGAATAACTTGATTATTGCTCACAGTGAAGTTCTACGAAAAATAAATTTGGTTCCTTGAATGGATATGGACGCTGACACAGTAAATATCAATGCCACTAATTTATAAGAAGCAATGCAATTTTTAATGATGGCCATGATTAATGATTAGCAGCTTAAAAAAAGGGGGGGGGGGTAGCAGGAAATGGGAAGGAAATACATTGGGTTCTTTTTCCTCTGCCAGTATGCTTTTAAAAGTCTGAATTTCAAAGTTCTGTTCATCTTGTCTTTCCATGTTTTTTGAAAACATCTGAAAGGATGGAATTGTACCTACTGGAGCAATTGCATTTTATTTTTTTCTGCTCATTTCTTAAATGCTTGAGGTTTACACAGTGGTAATTTCTTTTTGAAGGCTGATCAAATATGCACCCTTATGCTCAGTCATACATGTGATGAGGTAGAAACAGGCAGAATTATTGTTGATTCTTGAGTGAATGCCTCTTCTAATGCCTTAATGTGAGGATGTTCGTGGTTTTTTGTGTGTTTGAAGGCTATAATTTAAACAATTTGAGATCAGCTATCAGAATCTGTTTTGCTGGATCCAGTAGCTGATTATTCGTTTGTTTGCCTTGTCTTGGTAGCTAAGTATCCCCTGGCTCATACATCGGAAAGAAAATTGAAAACACTTGTGACTATGCCAGGACAAGCTTTCATGTCAGTCGTGGTGAAGACTTCAGAATGATCATGTTGACTTGCTGCATTATCCATTTGGCCTAGCACTCTTTTTTTTTTTTTTTTTTTTTTTTTTTCTCCCCCTGATTAGACCTAATAGCAGATATTTATGGAAAGAATGTAAGCAGTAGGATAAGAGAATGGGCATTGCAGTAGCTAAAACATGTTCTCCCTGCTTCCCAATAGTAAGAGAAAGTTCTTGGCTTGGAGGTTTGGTGCAGACTCATGTTTAATAGATCTTGGTAGTTCTTTGGATCATGAATCTATCAGATTACTTTTTTTAACCCATCTATAGTCTTGGCCTTCTTTCCTCTTCAAATATGCTTCTTGACTTTTTAGAAATTATTGAAAGCCTTTTGAAAGGGAATAGTTTTAGGTTAATTTTGTGGGCTTGTATTCTATTGTATCCTAGTTTCTCTGGTCTTGAAACCTATATTTGAATAGGGAGGAAAAGGAGATGACTTGATGGGAAATAATATAGGGTGGTAGGCTGGAACAGTAGAAGGAGGTGAGGGACATGGAACTATACAGAGTGGTGTGCAATTGTAACTGTTGAGTGGTTTGCCTGTGCTGATCATCTGTAGGCTTCTCATGCTAAACGGACTGCTGGCCAGGATCTTCAGTTAATGACATGAAGTGATTTCTGATTATTTTTGGAGAATATTCTGAAGGCTAACTAATAAAAGGCAATACAAGTGATAGGTTGGAAGTAAAAAACTTAGAATCTAAGTTTCTCTCTGTGGTCCCCGCCACCCCAGTTTCTTCTCCAGAGCAGCAGGTATAACTAATTTTTTAGACTTTCCTTCACTTTTCTCAGGAAGGCTGAGATTTTAATCTAAACACACATCAGATTCGCTCAGAGAAATGTTCTTAGGTATGCAGCATAGAATGTTTCAGTATCAAAGAGGAAGGAGAAAGAACATGAAAGAAAGAAGTTTAACTGGGACACTTCCTGCTTGTCAGAGTATTAGAACGCTTGGTTAGAGATGCATGATTGAGTTGCTGCAACAGTTAAGATAAATGAGTAGCATTGATGCCTGTTTTAATACATCTGCAATTTTCCGTTAACAATCTTTAATAAATAAATGGAAGAGAAGAAAATATGAGTTGATCTAGGCTCTTATAATAATCTGGGCAGATGTTGTGCCATGAGTTACAGAATCTCATCCCATTGTATCTGTGTTAAGCCCTTATACCCTCTTCTTACCCAAATAAGAATCAAATTAGTTAAGCAGTACTTTCCAAAAATACATCTAGTCCTTTTTTGTAGCCTAGACTGTTTTCATTACTAAATTCAATTTGTGATTAAAAATAGGAAGTCTATGGTTTTATTACTGCCACACTGCCTAGCATTGCTATTGCTGACTTTCAGAGTTTGGGTATAGGGTCCTACATGAAACTTCCCTTTAAAAAGAAAAAAAATATATTAGTTCTGAACCTAGATAATAGAAAAGGTAGAATATTTCCTCTTTCTGATACATTAGAGGTGGAATATTTCCTTTTCGGTTTCTTTGAAAGCTTTCATATGTTCAACTTTCATTCTGTAAATGCATTTATCTAGAGTACACAAAGCCATTTTCATCAATTGTATCTACGGACCTTTGCTTATCTTTCCCATCTTCTACCAAAGAAACACAAAAACTACTACTTATCTGTGTACATCGCAGCTTTGTGTAATCACGTATCCTTGTCACCATTGTACCTGTCCTTCCCCCCTCAGTTGCATCTAATTGTTTAAGTCTATTTACAGCATCTTGTTTTAAAGTAGATTTGAAGCTTTTCGTAGAAGGAACTTCATGTGATTTGCACAAACCTTGTGAAAGTCTTATCAGATTTGGAGTTTGTGGATGTGCTGTAGCTGATACAAGTACTGATGATCTTTTCTTTCTTTAAAAACTTTAAAATTGGAAAAAGTGTAAAATAGTTAATAGTGAAGCTGTTATTCCAGAAGCCATATTGCTGACCTTATAGACTACTCTGTTACATATAAATGCAACATGGCAGTGAATTAATTTCATTTAAAATAAATTCATATATCTTACAATGTCTTAGGCCAAATGTCCTAGTAAAGCAAACAGTGATGTTCTAGATACTTCTGTAGGACCTGCTCTGCATTCAGTAGACAAAAATAAGGCTCATTTCATTGCATATTTTCAGGTAGTTCACATGCATTTACAAACTGTAACTGTTTTGTACCAGCACATTATCGACTGTTCTGTTGATGGGCAAAGACGACAAAGTAAGAGCCTTTCTTTCATCAGGATTGCCTGATTACGGTTTTACTGCTTTCAAGGACTGGGCCACAGTGCTTATTCATGGAAAACCTGGATTTTGTTTGTGGCCGTTGGTCAGTTTACTGTGTTTGCGTTTTAATAGGTTCATCTTTTAATCCTGAGATATTGCCAGAGTTGACAGGTCGGACACTTTAAACACAAACCAAAAGTCTTTTAGGCAACCAAGGCAACTGTAGCTTCTTCAAGACGATATTCTTGATGTGTTTGTCTGAGCTGCCCATTACACTGTATCTTGATGGGATCATCTGTGCAATTGCTCCAGGAAAATGATAGTCCTTTACACTGTTCAAAGACTTATCACAAATCACTTTTTTTTTTTACTGATTCTCCTCCTTTTCTTTATTTTAAAAGATAAGTGAAGTTTGTTAGAATGTCCAGTGAAGAATATTTTTGTTGATTGTAATTGGAGTTAGTTGCATGATTCAAAAATAGATACCCTTCTGTGATTGCTGTTGCAATGGCACAACACTTTTCCATTTTTGTGGTCTAGTTTTATATATCTTGGAATAGGGTAAGATACCGATTCAGGTAGAAATGTGTTTAGCTATTAAATGCCCTTTATTTTTAGAATGTAGTGAGTTGATAAATAATGAGAGGGTAGTGCATACCAACCTTGGACAAAATAAATCGGAAGCTTGATAGTTTCTTATGTGCTGTACCCATTGATTTATCCTGTATATTTGAACCATCAGAAGGGTATTGTTGTTACCCCCTTCAAATTTTGGGAAAAAGGGGTTTTTTTAACCACTGCAAATAAATTCAGTGCTAAGTTTTGTAAGAGTGTAACCTTCGTACCAGTTTATTTTGTTCTATCACAGTCATCTTCAGAATGTTGATGCTTCTGTGCTGTTCACTCTGAGCACGCCCAATTTTAAGGTAATTTCTGTTCTTTTGTGTCTTTTAATAGTCTGATACCTACCTCTGCATGTCAGCACCTCTGCTGGTGGATGATGAAGCCTATGTAGGTGAGTGTTGGTTGACTGGAAAAACCTAAGCAAGCTGTTGAAGAATGAAATAAAAGTGGTTTATTTGGTGGGGTTTTTCTTTTTTTGACTCTTATCAACTTAATCTTTGGCTGTCAGTTTCTAAAATGCATTCATCATGACTAATGCAGAAACAAACTAGAGAGAGCTACTTAGAGTTGAGATAACAAACTGGGTCTGGAGAGATTCATGAGTAATAGTAGTTAAAGAGCTGCATGCAGATGCCTCTGGCAGCCGGTACCAAACAGTCCCATTTGTAAAGTATTGGCTTTCTGTCTCTGGCCGGATACTTAATTCCACTCTGCTGAGCAGACTGTTTATTTACCTGCTGGTGTAGGCCGTAAATCCTTTGTGCTTGCAGTCAACATTAAATGCAGTAAGATCTTACCTATCCAGGGGGAAAAAACAGAACAAAAACAACAGATTCCCCCTCTTCCTCCCCTTTTGTAGTGTTGTGGCATGAATAAGATGACAGGCAAATAAAAGGATCTACTGTAAAGGTGTGCCAGTGCTTAGGGTCACATAGATCTGGAAAGCAACACCATCTGTTCAGAATGTCTTCTGGGTGCTCTTAATTTTATTTTGCCTTGCTTACGAACATCCAGTTGTTTAGGTAGAGAGAAGGCTTGTGAATGGTTGGTTTTACTAAAGGTAGTTTCACTGTCATAACATACTATAGAACGAAATAAAGGAAAACGGTGAAAAGTTAGAACATCTATATTTTTCTCCTTTGACTCTGTCAGTAAATTTTAGGATGCTGTCCACACATACAACAAAAACGGTGGCAATCTTGTATGGTTTTTACTATAGTGTATTATGACAGCGTAACTTCACATGAATCTCCTTGCATGAACTGATATTTTAACCCAACATAGTATTTGGTTTACATTTTAAGGTTGTATGGGGGTAACTAAGAAAAAGGGAGGGGAAAAAAGGTAAATTTTATTTGAGGCTTTCATATATGTAAAGGAGTCAGCCCCGACTGCAGAATTACATTTTGGCTAGGAGATCGGCCCCAGGAAGAAAAATGAGCATAAAAGGGATTATGACTGTTCAGTCTCTGATCACCTGTGGTTACTGCAGTGTTTGCAGTGCACTGTTCTGCCCTTTTTTTTTCTTTTGTGATTCATAAAAAGGTATACTAACCTCCTGTTTAATTTATATTTAGTGCTTCATTGAGTTGCAAAAGTCCACGGTTAAAATCTTTAGGCAGCTGCACGTGTAGTCCTGTAATTTGGTGTTTGCAGGTATTGAATCCTTATGAAATACTTTCAGTGGTATATACATCTAAACAAACCTACTAATAAAAGTTTGCTTAAAAAAAAGGTGGGATATAAGCAAAATCTGACTGACTCAAGTAGGGTAACCCATTTATATTTCTGAAGACTGAGAAACTTTTAGTTTTTAGATGCTTGTGTGTTTTTCGTCAGACTTTTATGGGATTTAGTCACTGTTCCATTGATCACTGAGCTTGAGTGCGTGTAACACAAAGCAACGCAAGGTCTGTCTGAAAACTATCCCAGTTGTCAGATGGGGTTTTGGGGAGAGCAAGAACTTGATTACCAAACTAAAAACAAGCAAACAAAAAAACCTGTTTGGTGAACATAAAGGTTTCCCATAATATCATTACTTACAGACTTATATTTGCTTGTCCTAAAAACAGAACAAGTAAAACTGCCTACGCTTTACTTGGTGTTTTCCAGGAAAACGCGTAAGCATGTGGTTAAGTGATCAGTTCCATCTGACTTCAGTGAAATCACTGGAAAGTGATTTCAGTGGAAAACAATTTGAGACTGGAGTCTCGGCAATCAACAGAAGTTGTGTATTCCTTGGAAAGACTAGGAACAAATATCCAATTGTAGAATTTATAAAAATGCAAAATGACCTATCATAAAACACATGAATAGCAAATTAAAATTTCTCAGGGAAGAAAATGGAGCAAGAGACTTTTACAATGAGTATCATCCTCTAAGAAATGAGAGGCTTAATGGAGTTTTTCCTTAACTATGTCTTAATATCTGTAAGCATTGTGGAACTAATTATTAGCTTACAACTTGCATACATGTATTTTGTGTTGCTTAAATAAGCATACAAGATTGATATGCACAGAATGAAATTGCTCTTTTTAAAATGATAACTTACGTATTTTTATCTGGTTTGAGCAGATTCCACATTCACTACACTTCCAATGAACAGTGCAAAAAAAAAAAAAATACAAGGGAAATTATACAAATAGTCGATGTTACCTAAATAAGGTTTTTAACTTAGTTTTCTTTGGGAAACTGCTGTATGTGAATTAACCTTCGCTGATTACTGTTTTACTTGATGATAGAAGTTTCTGAAACCGAAAAGATGGTCTTCTGTTGTTCTGGGTTGCTTTTCAGCCGTCTGTTGAGAAGGCAGTATGTGTTCTGAAGGGCGTAGGTATGAATACACAGGATGAAAACAGTAAGTGTGGAAAGGGAAGGAGAAACACGGAGGGGTGAATTACCTGAGAGTCTCTGAGAGTCTCTGACAGTTTCTGGTAGTATTTAGAACAAGGGCCCAATTTTCTGCCTCTGGTTCAGTTTTTTGCATGTGGTGCTTCCAAGTAAATAGTTACTCATTTCTCTGTGTGTGTGTTTTACCCTTTCCTTTTCTACCTTATTTTCCTATTTCTCCTCCTTTTTCCTCCCTACCCGAAGAGTGTGGGTGGAAGAGGGGATTTTGTTTATAAAGTTAGTAACAGGACAGCTTTGATGCATATTGACAAAACTGAAACGCTTTGGAAGAGGAGACTTTTTTTCAACATTGCATGTGGCCAGTACTGCATTCATTAGTATGTAGATAACATTGCCCGTAACTCTTCCAGTATTTTTATCAAATTTGCGCTTGTGAACTTTGAATTCAAACTCTAGCTTTGTTATGTTGCTAAGCATTCGCTACCAGTAGATAGTCAGTCCTGTTTGCACAGGAACAGGGGGTATATCCTCATACTGTGCATCTGGGCCAGACTTGACCAACTTATCCAAAGTCAATTTTAAGACTGTGCAAGTAAGACTACTGACTTGCTCCTTTTAATAAACTGCTACCAACCAGAAGGAGGAGCAGAGCAAGTGTCATCCTAGAGGTCTTTTTCAGGGATGCATCTGTATATTTTGGCAGATGCTGTTTGTTTACTGTAAGCAGTTCTTCGGTGGAGGGTCAAACTGTCAAGGTTGAGATTTCTGTTTGAACCAGTCCTTTTTCTGTCCCAAAAGGATTCTAAATCCTGACTGGGGGCAGGGGGAGGCTTTTTTGGATAGACTATGCCACAGACTTAACATTTTAGTTAGGTGTGTACCTTTTGCTCCTATGAGATGAAATGACTGTGAAATTAATATGTAAAATATATCAATGAGTCAGATTAATATGCAGATTTTTGAAGAAGGTAGGGTTACACTCACATTAAAGAAAAAAAAAAGTTTTCTCAGGTTTTCTTCCCCACCTCATGTTTAATTAGTGTATATGGATAAATAGCTAAACCAGAAAGTAGATTGAGTCTTTAATGGTGCAGACTTTGATAAAAATCAGCTTCTGACTGTTGAGCTGTAGTGATAGCTAAAGGGTGTTCTACAGATACTCCTAAGAATCAAGTCTGACAGCAAGCCACTCAGCCAAGAAATTTGACTGTCATCTTCATCTCCTTATTTTCACTCACATGGCTGACCGGCAAATAAATGTCTCTCTCTTACTAACTGATGATAAGTCCCTATCTGTCAAATTGTACTATACAAATGAGAGAGAGCCTGTTACATTCAGCAACACAGATGGTAGTAATTACATGATTTATTGCTTTCTTCCATACGTGACTCTGGGATGTTGTGGGTTTGTTATCTTAGTATGGCATATATAAACTTCCTTAATACCTAGTAACGGTGGCTTCACTGAATTGGAGGCTTCTACTATCTCTCTAATCTATCAAAGTGAACATTGATGTATTTATATGTTTCTTTAAAATGAGTTCAATCATATTATGTAGAAGGAAGCTATTAAAAAAAGGGGGATGTCAGCGTTATATGACTGAGTTATTTGCAAAGATGAGCATGTTAGAAATGAATGGGTTAAATACATAGCTTAACTAAACGCTGTTAAGATTAAATTGATGTTCTCTTTATCTGTTTCTGATCTGTTCATTCCTATTTCTCAAGGAGATCATAACTCAAAGTAGCATTTTGTTAGGCAAGTAGGTCAAACCTTATTCAGGTTTAGCATATACACTGAAACTGTTGCTCTTTTAGCATTTCAGTAATCACTTTATGCCACTTTTACATGCATTAAAAAGTAGGTTTTGATTTAAATGACAGCTGTATGTGAACAAACCTGAAGTGGAAGTGGTGTTGGGATTTTGCAAATTCTTTTTGCTTTTGGTTCACTTTTCTAATGTTTGTGAGTGTATATTAGCATCTTAATTTTTTTTTTTAACTTAAAGCTTAGAAAATTAAAATATCTATGTTGAACTCCTCATGTGTGAGTCAAACTTGAGGTGCAGTCCCATTGTTGGAACTTGGAGCTGGGCGCAGAAAAGCGTAAAAAAAAGAACCTGTCTATGAAACTTTCATATTTTCCTGCTGTCTAATGGTCCTTTTAATGGCTAAGATTTTATATGATACAAGTGGAATGAATATTTGCGTGCCAGCAGTCTTTGGCTCATCCATTCTTTCTTCCTGATAGCTCATACCTGAAGATCTCTCAAACTTTTTGATCTAGAAAACAATTGCAATGTAGTCTAAACTTCTTGAAAGCTTCCAAGTGTTCTCATATGCTGCTTGATACCTATCCTACACAATACACGAGTGTTGGCTAATTGTCAGTATCTGGAGCTGTGAAGGAAAATAGTTAACATAGTCTGGGTTTTTTTGGTGTGGGGTGTGGTTGGATTTTTTTTTTTTTACATCTACTTTTTTTTTTTTTCCCCAATGGCTTACTTTGACCACCCCCTCCTCCCCATTTTGGAAGATTGATGTAAGCCTGGGAGCTTTGCTAAGAAAAATCACTCTACAAGAAAAGACCAACTGACTCTGTAGAGCTCTCAAGCTCACAGATACGCTGAGAGGTTTTTAGATTATTTCAGTGGGAATGATCAGATATGTAAGCTAGAACAGCTATACGCAAATAGTTCACACAAAAACCTAATTTTGCTTTAATTTTAATTTTGTGCACTAATTCCAATTAGTAGTAGTAGTATTTTTATAACTTACCTGTAATAACTTTAAAAATAGTGTTTAAAGGTCCATACGCTAGAACGTCATTGCAATGGACACTGTGCAGGGAAGACAAAAGCCTTCCTGACTGACTCATCCAAGTAAGTACAAAAGATGACAGAGCAGCAGGGGAGTAGAAAGAAACAATGAGACAGTGCTGGCCAGCATGATAAGCAGTGGCTTCAGCGGGTGGGGGGGGAGGGGGTCTGACCTTTAATGAAGCCTTTCTTCAAGGCTGTCCTTGTAGGTGTTTCTTACAGTACGTTTTGTACAGCTGTCAGGTTCTGCTATAAAGATCATTGTATTTCACATTTATGAACTGCTTATGAACTCCATGAGAAATTTCATTTCTCACTTAAATTGGTAAAGGCAGCTTGAAACACCTATAAACTAAGATAGAAAGTCCACACAAAATGGCACAGTGTCTATTCCACACAAAAGTTAATTATAGGTTTGCTATTAGGTATTAGTGATAAAAATGTCGAAACAAAAGGTCTTGCTGTAACACAGATTTGTTTTATGGCTATGGAACGAGTAGAATTTGCTGATAGGGAAAAAAAAAAATTATGTAGTCTTCAGACTTGAGTCATCCTGACAAGTTTAGCAGTTCTGAATCCATTTTTAAGAATATGCAGCGCACAAAATAACCTTGCTTCAGCCCTTCTTTTGGAGCATCTCTCCTGTGAACAAAAGTCCCAAAGTGAGGCTGGTGGGGAGGTGGCTTTCATCTTTCAGCTCCTCTCACACCTGCCTTAGCAAGCTTGCTGCTTAGTGGGCTTTAAACTGAATTTGCCTTTGAGCTCATGTTGGCAATGATTACAGCAGCTTCCCAGAGTACGCGGATGCTTCTCTTACCTCCTCACTCCCTTACAACGCTACTGCATGCTGTACATGTTCAAGCTGGAATTTGAGCTCTTTGCTAGAGTGACTGCTTTTCCTCATTTCTCACTGTACATCTTGGCCCCAAAAAACACGGGTAGAAACTATCCAGTTAATTTCCACCACCCTCCACGCCCCCATAAGGCTGAGAGAATAATTTGCATTGCCACACACTTCAGGAACTCTTCCTCAGCTGTACGGTCGCATACTGAGTTGGGATGCTGATAAATCTACAAATTTCAGAATAGCGTTTCTGTGGTTTACAGCTTCCTGGTCTGCCTATGTTAAAGCTTTTACAAAAGCTAGGAGACACTTACCTTGTAAGCATCTATGTACACGTAAGGCCAGGAGTGGCTCAGTTACCATAGTTTTGGAACTTCTGCTGAAGAATAAGGTTAAAAATCCGGCCGAGGTCCTTCCCTGTCTTAAATGAAGGAAAACTCCTTTCCGTTCCCTGCACCTGACTTATCATTTCAGTATGAATAAAGGAAGTTAGTGTAGCTTGTTTTATTTCTAGAAATGCTATCATTGTACGTTTACAGTCAGTATTATTACAGTATGATGTCAGTAACTTTTCTGCTATACCAAACAGGATCACTAATGTTTGAGAAGTAAAAACAGTGTTCTTGTGGCATTGGACAAAGAACAGAGACATTTGAATACTGAACGTTCACTTTTATCTAAGTTTCTAGTAATGAGGAATATTTCACAGAATCACAGAATGGTTGAGGTTGGAGGGGACCTCTGGAGATCATCTAGTCCAACCCTCCTGCTCAGAGTCTTCTAGAGCATATTTCCCAGGATCGCATCCAGATGGGGTTTGAATATCTCCAGGGAAGGAGACTCCACAACCTCTCTGGGCAACCTGTGCCACTGCTCTGTCACCCTCACAGTAAAGAAGTTTTTCCTCGTGTTCAGATGGAACTTTGTGTGTTTCAGTTTCTGCCCGTTGTCTCTTGTCCTGTCGCTGGGCACCACGGAGAAGAGTCTGGCCCCATCCTCTCGATACCCTCCCTTCAGATACTTGTACACATTGAGATCCCCTCTCGGTCTGCTGTTCTGCAGGCTAAACAGGCCCAGTTCTCTCAGCCTTTCTTCATAGGAGAGCTGGTCAATGTGATTGTATTAACTTTAATTTAATCTTGGTTTCCGTTCCAAAGGACTTCACACGTGAGTGAGAATACATTAAAATCTTTTTCTTGGAACTTTTGTCCTAAGAAAGTTGTAGCAGAATTTTGAACCAACTGGAATATGGGAAGAAGTTATCACTCCAACTAATGCATACGTTATTGGTTACTCTTAACTGTAACTTACTGTTTGGATTTTTGGTGGAGACAAGAAGTTAAAGAAGTAGAAAAGTACTATTAAATCACAAGTGCAAATTTTGAAGCTAATAGTCAAAAGACTGGTTATGCTAAAATTTGTAGATTGGGTTACAATGAGATGTTTACCAAGTGTCCTATTTAAAATAGGAGAAAAATGCAACAGTGTTGAGGTAGAAACTTGGAATTTTTTTATTTTTAATTACTAAATGAGGTGTAATACTTTTAGCTTGGGAGAAAGGCCATTGTGTGGAAATGCAGGAAAAGCTTGTAAAGTTGTAAATGGAAAACAGAAGGTAGATAAGAAGTGACTGGGGGCACGCACACCCTGTTTGTAGTATTACAGGGAAATGATGGCACAAAATGTTCTTGGTTATGTAATACATGGTGAGAGTAAATATAGTACACTTTCTGATTGTTTTGTCTTTCAGTTGACTTTAAACCTCATGCCAGCATGGACACTGTCCATCACATGTTACTCTTTGGATGTAATGAACCCTCTTCTACTGAAAATTACTGGTAAGAGTTGCGGGCTTGTATTTATTGTTGTACCTAACTTTTCCTGTATTGATTGCCTCCAAACAAACCTTTTAAAATGTCACAATTTTTTTTTTTGAAGTGGGAAAACTGTGAAGGAAGAAATATGTAACATTCTAATCTCTCCGTGTTTCTGTTTTGATGATTTTATTTAATGCTTTAAGAACTGTAACTATAACTATACATATATGTATATCAGCAATACTTCTTAAATGTCACAGTTTGAGTAATTTAGATAGTCTTTGCCATTGTGATGGTGAGCATACGTTTTCCAGATTATGTCTGTATTCAGTGTCCTGTAATGAATTAAAATAAATTCAAGAGTGAAGTAATATTTCCAAAGAGAAAAAGATAAAATGACCACTTTTGAAAGAAAAGACCAAAGAAAATACTACACTTGGCGAATGTTCTGTTGGTGTATGTAACTGATGGATTTATAGAGTTACAGTATATTTGACTGTTATTTTGTAACACAGTATAATCTAGAATTTATTTATTTATTTTTAGCCGAGCCCCCTGTAAAGTAGGGGAAGAGGTCTGTTTTCTGCTTCTTGATGCCTAATTGACTATCTTCAAGAAGGTTTAAAGGTGCACATCTCTGCCATAATAGCCCGAAATGAAGATAGTCCAGATGTTTGACAGGACATAGGACTTGGGGTGCCCTTTTTGCATTAAACTTCTTGAACGCTGTTTCTTATTTGGAGCGCTGAGGCTCAGAGAGCTGTTGTGGTTTGGTACCACTGGATACCAAGAAATCTTGGCTTCTAATTCATATTTAGAAGCCCAAATAAATGACCCACTCTTTTAAAGAAGTGAATACTGAGAAGCTGTCTCTGCAGCTATTGAGGAAATTAAGCTTTCCATGAGAATGGAAAAGCAGGATATAGCATCTCCAAGAAAATTACCATGATACTGGTTAGACAGAGAGTATAAAAATGTTAAGCTTTGTATTTAACTGGCAGGTTGACTTAAATTAAATAACTTTAATGCAGCTGTAGCTCCTCTAATTAGATAAATATTGCTATGTATAGAAAATATACTGTGCTGAATGAAGGACAAATACGCTCAGCTTCTGAAAGAAAAGAAACTTTGAAAAAAAAAAAATAGCATCTACTAATTTTCCAAGTAGGAATTTTTTTTTCCTCAAAATATAGTTCAGCATTTTTTGTGTTCTGACAGACAAACCAGTTATAATATCTAGATGAAATTAGAGCAAATGAGTATTAAATAATCTGAATCCAATTGGTACTATTTTATGATTTTAAAGATGATGTTTTTAATAAGCTTTTTGGTGGGGGAGGAGGGAAGGTTTGCAGGAAAACTTTTTCTCCTCCCTTGAGTCATACTTGAGACATCTTCTTTTATAGAGAAGATCTTATAGGCTGGGAAAAGATGTAAAATGTGTACTATTCCTAGGGAGTGGACGTGATTTATTTCTTAAAGTTAAAAATCTTCTAAGGACAGCCTGTACGTTGGAAACATCAGTCATAAAAACTTCAAGAGACACTTCATTATCTGAATTCTAGGCAGTTCTCGTAAACCAAAACCCCTATCGCAGTTTGCACATGGATGTGAATTGAAAACTGGAGTAGGACAAGGATATAAAGTATTGTCAAGTATTTGATAACAAAAAAATCAGAGAGGCTTTATTGGAATTTTTTTATTCATCCTTTATTCATCATTCGTCAACAGTCTTAGTAACCAAACCCCCTCATTTCTTGACTTCTCTGAAAGTAGCGATGTACTTGCTTTTGGCTTTGTTTACCCATTCCATCTAGTATTTTTCCTATGTTTTATTTTTCTGAGCAAGAGATTCTATGCATTCCTTATTTTTCTTATCTTTATTATCTCTGAGTTCACTAGCAACTACTGTTCTAGTGCTAGCTTTAGACCAGAGACCTAGCTTCTTAGTGGTTTGTCCCTTTTCTGTGTATGGAGAAGTCTCATATCAGGTATGCAGAGTTAAGAGTAAGCTAAAGAAGGTTCTCTGGGGCAGATGGTTTGGTAGTTAATTTGCCTTTCAAAATGCCAAAGCCATGAGGGCAGAGGGAAGCTCACCGTGCCACTAAGTGAGAGCCTAAGTGCTGAGAGGCTGAAGTTGGGGCTAGCTGGGGAGGTTGCTGGTCTTTAAAGGGTTTTTAGGAGTGAGCCTGTTAGGAAGCTTTACTGATGCTATAGAAGCTTATGTAATTTAATCTGATCTGTGGAACAATTTTAATAGAGATTTTCTGATGCAGGTCTATAATCTGAATTTTTCTTTTAAATATTTACCGGTAAGATAACTAGAAATGGAATTTCCAGATAATAGGATAGTGTAATGTTTTTTTCATGGACAAGTATGAATTTAGCACTCATCTCTATAGGTTTTTGGAAAATGATTTGATCAGTATTTTGAACATATGAAAAGCTTTTCATTAAAAATTTTATTTCCCTTGTACTTATCAACAAGGAGTTTGAATATTTATAATGAATGCTGTCATCTTGTCTTGCAAGAACAGCAGATAAAAAATAAAACAATGAAAGCACAGAATTTCTATTGATTTCCTAGCAGGCTGCTTTTCCTTCTTCTTTCCAGTGTCTTCTGTTATTGTTTAGAATATACTTTCTTCAATAGTTTAAACTTATGTGAAAAATGTAGCAACATAAAACTGTTTGCAAGTGTTTCAAATTAGTTCATACCTTGAACGTCTTATTTGAAACCAAGTAGATTGTATTTCTAATGTGTTTTGCCTTCATACATCTGAAATAGTTTTGTTAATCTGAGGTGCTCAGGACATGATAGAATTGTCCTTTTATAGATTGATCAGATACTTAAGATAGAGTCATGAGATGATTCCTGAGGCACATCTGAGGAGAAAATTGATTCTTCTGTTGTACTTAAAAACAAACAAACAAAAAAAACCTCTAGTTCCTCTTCATTTGGCACTATTCAGATTATTTTGTCTAAGGCTCAATCTTGTAGGGTGCCTCAAAAATTGTGATTGGTGGGGTCTTTGCAATATTGAGAGGAAAAGCTACAAACTGCTTATCAAGATGCAAGTCCAACATGCATGGTAGGTAGTTTGGGAGGACTTGTTAGCCTAGTGTTGGCAGACCAAGGAACTTGCATGTCAGTTCAGCTGGCAGCTCAGTTGTTCTAGGGGTGTAGGTGAAACTTTTGTTTCCTGAGCTTTTAGATGTGAAGAGCCAGGTCAATAGCTTGAAAATCATAAAGTTCTCCCAAGCTGGATCAGACTTGAATCCTAGGGTTGACATGGATTCAGGTTGTTTGACCTCACTGGCTGTATAATCGTTTTTCCCAGATGACAACCCAGTAGAGAACTTGTCAGTGACAGTGTGCGCACTGTGGCAGTTAATGTTACTTTTGTTCTTGTTTGTTATACCCATCACCTGCCTGTCAGATTGAGACCCATAATTAATGTCAGATTTAAATCTGATCTTCCTGATTTCTTTCATATGCTGGTTTTGATTAAATTGTGCTATTTTTTTCTGTACCCAATTTTTGAGTTATGCTATCTGCTTTATATTCTCATAATAGAAACTCTTCATCCAAGGTCTCATCATTTCACATCTGTGGTATTGCAACAGATTGCAGTCATTCATCTTGCTTTGCCCTTAGCTATCTGTAAGGCTAGAAGGATAATCACATCTGTTCTATATAAAACAAGCTTTAGAGATCTCCTGAATTTATGCCTGTTTGACACATGTATATAAGCTTATGTAAATGTCTTAAATTTATTTTGTGCCTGTGTGTATATGTAGTTAATAATAGTCTATGTGTATTTATACATACTGTCATGGGACGACAGACTACCTTACAGTCCCGTACCATGTGGGTTTTGCGTGGTGCAAGGGAGGGGAGGAGGGAGAGAAGGAGATTTACTGCATAACTCCACAACTTGTTTCAAAGATCAAAATTTACTACACAAGTTACAACGGTGCAAAGCAACAATTCTTATTAGCAGAAACTTGGCTCAACTAGACTACTTATTTTCTAGTTACACTGAAAGTTATGCTAGCAGTAACTACTTAGTAAACAGACAAAGCTAGCTAATTTATACTAATTATTACCCAAACAAATGAACTAGGCAAACCAGTTCTGGTTGATCTTACCCACTGTTACCTCAGTGGCCAACGTACACTCAATCCCAGGGAAGTAACTGCAGGAGGGCATCCCTGTCCCGAGGGGCTCTGCAAGTTGGCAGACCTGCTGTCACCTGTGAAGAGCCAATGATGGTCTCCGGGGCCAACCTATCTTCCCTTCAGGGGAAGATGGAGGTGGAGCTGCTAGGCCCATTGCAGTTCTCTCCGTGCAATTGCAGCCCTTAGCTTTTTGGCTGCTGCAGGGTTCAACTCTCCTCCATCATGGTTATAACTATTGCACCCATGGTCATGGGGTGCGGGGTGGCTGAACACCCGCAACAGCCGGCTGGCTGCTTTGAGCACTCTTCAGCACTGAAGAAAGGAGTTTGAGTGACTGCAAAAGACTACTTTACTCTTGCAGTGGTGATCCCAAGGAGAGATCCCATAGCTCAGGTAAGGAGGAGTTAATTCCAATCTGACATGATTAACACTATCCTAGCAGCAAAAGCAGGTGTTGTCTCTCAAGGTCCTGACAAGAAGGAAATAATTAACGCTGCCCCAGCAGTGAGAGGAGGCTTTGTTTCTCAAGGTCCTGATGCCCAAGCAGGCCTTATCTCAAAGTGTTGACGTGCTCCCCTTTGGAGTGTGAGGCACACAAATGCAGACTGCTTGTAACTGGCCCTAGATGGAGGGGAAGCTGGGAGCATCCCCCTGCGCATGCATATATGTGAATATGTACATTAAAACTTTCAGATGTGGAGTATCTGTTGCACATTTAAGCTGTTTCAGAGGTTGTAATAACCTTTAAAAGTGAATATTTTCTTACTATTTTAAATTTGCTAACTTTAGTTTCCAGCTGTTGGAAACAATTTTGTTATTCTATTGACTCTGTATTATTA